TAATATAGTCGACTAGCGCAGTTTTGGCATGCTAACGCTATGCCAAATATTGTACGTTGATGTCTTTATTTAAAACCTCACGTAGCGCAGTTGCTGGTATGCTAATGCAATGCTAGCGATAACTATCTCTAATCATTTTTTATCCTTTGGCATCTTTGATCTGGTATCTGGATCTGGTATCTGGTGTCTGGTATCTGGTATCTGGTGTCTGGTATCTGGTATCTGGTATCTGTATCTGTATCTGGTTTGGTTCTGGTATCTGATGTCTGGTATCTGGTATCTGGTGTCTGGTGTCTGGTATCTGGTATCTGGTGTCTGGTGTCTGGTATTGGTATCTGTATCTCTTTATCTGGTACTGGTTCTGGTGTCTGGTATCTGGTGTCTGGTGTCTGGTATCTGGTGTCTGGTCTGGTATCTGGTATCTGGTATCTGGTATCTGGTATCTGGTATCTGGTATCTGGTGTTGGTATCTGGTATCTGGTGTCTGGTATCTGATCTGGTATCTGGTGTCTGGTATGGTGTCTGGTATCTGTGTCTGGTATCTGGTGTCTGGTATCTGGTATTTGGTATCTGTTATCTCTATCTGGTATCTGGTTCTGGTGTCTGGTATCTGGTATCTGGTGGCTGGTATCTGGTATCTGGTATCTGGTATCTGATCTGGTGTTTGGTATCTGGTATCTGGTGTCTGGTCTGGTATCTGGTATCTGGTATTGGTATCTGTATCTGGTATCTGGTGTCTGGTATCTGATGTCTGGTATCTGGTATCTGGTGTCTGGTGTCTGGTATCTGGTATCTGGTGTCTGGTGTCTGGTGTCTGGTATCTGGTATCTGGTATCTGGATCTCGTATCTGGTATCTGGTTCTGGTGTCTGGTATCTGGTCTGGTGTCTGGTATCTGGTATTGGTATCTGTTACTCTTTATCTGGTATCTGATGTCGTATCTGGTATCTGGTGTCTGGTGTCTGGTACTGGTATCTGGTGTCTGCTATCTGGTGTCTGGTATCTGGTGTCTGGTATCTGGTTATCAGTTTTCATTTTTCATTTTTCATTTTTAATTTTTCTATTTTAATTTTTAATTTTAATTTTTAATTTTTAATTTTTAATTTTTAATTTTTAATTTTATTTTAATTTTTAATTTTTAATTTTAATTTTTAATTTTTAATTTTTAATTTTTATTTTTAATTTTTTTAATTTTTCATTTTTCATTTTCAATTTTCAATTTTCATTTTAATTTTCATTTTCAATTTTTCATTTTCGATTTTTCAATTTTCATCATTTTCATTTTTTTTTTTTTTTCATTTTCATTTTCATTTTCGATTTTCGATTTTCGATTTTCATTTTCATTTTCATTTTTTCAATTTTCATTTTCATTTTCATTTCATTTTCATTTTTCATTTTTCATTTTCAATTTTCATTTCATTTTCATTTTCATTTTCATTTTTCATTTTCAATTTTCAATTTTCAATTTTCAATTTTTCATTTTCAATTTTCATTTTCATTTTCATTTTAATTTTAGATTTTAGATTTTTAGATTTTTAGATTTTAGATTTTTAGATTTTTAGATTTTAGATTTTTAGATTTTTAGATTTTAGATTTTTAGATTTTTAGATTTTTAGATTTTTATTTTTAGATTTTTCGATTTTGATTTTTAGATTTTTAGATTTTTATTTTTAGATTTTTAGCTTTTTTCGATTTTTAGATTTTTAGATTTTTAGCTTTTAGCTTTTTCGATTTTTTTTTTAGATTTTTCGATTTTTCGATTTTTCGATTTTAGATTTTTATTTTTCGCTTTTTCGTTTTCGATTTTCGCTTTTTCGATTTTCGATTTTTCGCTTTTTTCGATTTTTCGCTTTTTCGCTTTTTCGCTTTTCGATTTTTGCTTTTTGATTTTTCGCTTTTTAGATTTTTCGCTTTTAGCTTTTTCGACTTTTTGATTTTTCGCTTTTTCGCTTTTTCGCTTTTTCGATTTTTCGCTTTTTCGCTTTTTCGCTTATTCGCTTTTCGCTTTTTCGCTTTTTCGATTTTTCGCTTTTTCGCTTTTCGATTTTTCGCTTTTTCGCTTTCGATTTTTCGATTTTCGATTTTTTCGCTTTTTCGCTTTTCGATTTTCGCTTTTTCGCTTTTCGATTTTTCGATTTTTCGATTTTTCGATTTTCGCTTTTTTTCGCTTTTTCGATTTTTCGATTTTTTTTTTATTTTTGATTTTTTTTTTTTTTTCATTTTTCATTTTTCATTTTTTCCATTCTTTCAGATCAGTTTTCATTTTTGTTTTCAGTTCGTTATTTGTTATCTGTTTTCTTTACTCTGTTACTTTATTATCTGTTATCTGTCATCGTTTTCTGTTCTGTTATCTGTTTATATGTTCCCACCTGTTCCTGTTCCACCTTTTACCTGTTATCTGTATTTTCCATATAGCATTGAAAATATCCTGTATCAATTGTCGACTCAGCATTTATGTGCGATGCCGGCAACGTCGCATGTTGTTGTTATACCTACATTGGCGTTTATAAAATCTTCCATGTAGCAAAATTGTATAGCAGACTTAGATTTATATGAGGATCGTCGCATAAATCTAGCTATAACACGACTTGCAAAAACTGGCGATTGACACTGACATATGTCAACCGCGTGTTCGTCTATGGATAGCAGTGGACTATGCTTTCTTCAGTGTATATGTTTTCTGTTTGTAATGTCAATGTCATTGTCATAGGTAATTTTTTCTAACCTGGAAAAATGAAATGTATTTTGTTTAAAATTAAAATTCAATAACTCCTATGTGAGATGTGTGCATCTACAACATAATGAAAGAAAAATTAAGATTCTGAAAGTTAATTCCTAAATATCATAGTAAGGATATCCGTAAAACTAAAAAAAAAGTAAACATAAACCACCTTGAGAAAACTTCTTCCGTATCACGTGGTTAAAGTGGAGTTTTAAAACAATTTTGTTGGAAAATAAGGCCGTTAGTTTACAAGCAGGTATGAACTGAGCGATCCGCTAATGTGTGTGTATCTTGCTTATAAAAAATGCTGTATTTAGATATGCTATTCACATGAGTTACCGTTCTTGATAGGATATTTTCAAATTGAACTTTTGTCTATTTTTACTATTTATTGCAGGAGAACAGTTGTTGAACCAGGTCCTGGTGCATACTTATGTAGTTGTCACTTTGTGGATGGGAAAAAAGAAAATAGACCTACATTGTTTAGGTATAATAGGGAGAAGCAATTGAACTTTCCATCGCCAGAAAGAAGAACCCGTAAAAATAACAAACAATGTGAAAATTGAACTCTATAATATGTTACTTCAAATTGGGCCCTTTTAAGGGATGTATGTAATAATTATGTGATCTGCAGAAATAAAAAATAGTTTAGATACAACACATGGCATCATAAATTATTTTAATGTAGAGTTCAGTACTCGTATAGGTAACTTCACTCCCCTGGCAGGCCTTAATCTAAGCGATTATCACAAATATGTCTATACCAAGTTACGATTATACTGTGCAAGAGTACTTATCTTACAAATTTTGACAAGTAATGGTGTCTGTTGTTTTGACAAGTCTTGGAAGTCACAAGTTCTTAAAGCAGCTACATTCTAAATCGATTTAGATCAAAATAAACAACTGCAGTGGCTATGAAGTCTTAGTAATTTTGAAAACTTTGGTAGTAGATATGAATTATCAATGCTATTTTTCAGCGCTTTGCATATTCCTTCATCTGCTTGATAATATTTGCCAATCGAAGGGATAGATGACAAGTTTGTTTACTTATTTTCCATTTATACATACTACTCAGGTGAGATACTACTACTACAAGGTTTTTACAATATTATGAGTTTGTTGGTGGTAAAGTTCTTCGTTTGGGAAAAATTCAACAGAAGCAGATGAACAATGCTCGCTTTATGATCTGGAGAAGAATGTGCTATCGCCTTAAAATAAAATTTCCTCTATTTTTTTAATGTTGTATGATTATGATCAATCAATTAGAAACATGACATATAATAATAACATCTCTAAAAATTAGACCAGAAGCTTGAAATTATTAAGTACTATAGTTGTTGGACAGTAAGTAATAGTATCGCTTGAAAATCAAATTTTGTAATCTGTTTCCTCTGATTCAATAATGAATTTTTCTGTAATCTATGATTAAGATCAGTCTTAGAAACAGGACAGATGTGAGTATCCTTGAAATTAGACATATAATAACAACATCTTTAAAAACAGAATAGAAATTTGAAATCATCAAGTGCTATAGTTTTTTGACAAGTAATGGTGTCTGTTGTTTTGACAAGTCTTGGAAGTGACAAGTCCTTAAAGCAGCTACATTCTAAATCGAAGTACATACATCTGCATTGAGATCAAAATAAACAACTGCAGTGGCTGTGAAAGTCTTAGTAATTTTGAAAACTTTGGTAGTAGATATGATTATCAATGCTATTTTTCAGCGCTTTGCATATTCCTTCATCTGCTTGATAATATGTGCCACTGTTAGCCAGCTAATAGGTCTACATATTTAGATACATTGAACTGAGGGTCAAGACTGAACTCTTACTGAACTTCATAGAAGTGACTGACTACTTACGTTTGCAATAGAAACACATAAACTGTAAACACTTCACACAACACTTTCACTATTTGTAGCTGCGATTGCTTGTTCTAAGCTTCTAATTAATCCTTATTAACGGGAGCCTCATTATTAAGATTTCGATAATGTTTACATTCATACATTGTAGGTTAGAAATCGGAGGTGATGCAATCAGACATACGCTTTATATCAATCGGTTGGAAAAGCGGAGCTTTATGCCATATTGTAAAATTATAACATGAATAGGGGCTTACAATCATATTTTTATCGTATTTATAAACCGATGATGATTTCAATAAATTGATGAACGTCAAAGAATAATTGCAGCCTTTGGCGGTAGACATCGCAATCTGTAAACATAAAAAACTACTAGATTCATCCGATTTTAATGGCTCTAGTCCGGTCCGTTTAGACAATGGAATATAAAAATTTTGAATCTTTTCGAAAATGTTGATTTTCACGCGCAAAAAAGGACAATTCTATTTGGCGTGATCCAATATTGGATGAAGCGATAGTCATGAAGCCGAAAATGGCACGTTTTTGACGTTCCGCTCGCACTCGCTCGCTTTCGTAATACGATCGTATCTACAATACCCCGCCTAACAGGAATCCGGGGATCTGGAGGGGAAATTCAAAATTGAAACTTCAAACTAAAAATGTGTGCATATCTTTGAATGTTGTAATCTGCCGAGTTAAAAAAATGCGATCGGGTAACGTGCCGTATGTCGGTTTAATCAGGAGACTTTGGCCTGTCGTTTTGCGAAAAAAATCGTAGCTACGTCGCTCCGTAACGCAGGTGCGTATCGATGAAGACAAAGTACGCCGAAAAACGGTTGTCATCGGTACTTTTGAGGCGCTCAAAGTTTACTTTTTCGAAATTTGACGGTAATTCTGACGGTCAGAATCGTTTCGTCAGATCATTATCGTTATTTTTCGATAGCTGTATAATTTTTACTCGCTCACGTACGGTAGTAATAAGCGAGGACAGAGCCGGATGACAAGGTGACTTTTTCACGCGTCGAAAATAGCGTAATTGTCGAGGGAATTTTTAAAAAATCGAAACTTTTCAACGTAAACGAATAATGATGATGAAAATAGTATTAAAAGAGTGTCCGAAGCATGGGCTTTCTCACGCAAAAATCGTCAGGTTCGTAGCTCCTTTATCTTCGGAGGAGATAGCTGATATACGGCGAAGCAGCGCGCTTTATACGCAAAAAAGTCATTCTTGACGACGTTCGAGGTTCGTTTATTCGAAACGGGTACCGTAAACGAAAAACGTCTCTCCGCGTAATTTGTAGCGCTCGCCGAGATGTACGAAACGCGGCCCGCGAAATTCCTTTTCTCTTCGGCATAAGGAGATATCGTAGTTTTCAAGGCGATTCGTCGTTTTTGTCGCTTTTTTTTCGAACATTTCTAGAAAAAAAACCGAGACGCGGAACCGAACAGATTTAGCTAATAGGCACGTATTTTTTCGTTTAGCTATCGAACGAGACCGATCTCGAGTCGATATTTCGATAAACGGCGAAACCAGTGTGAAATAACGCCGCGTACCGTCCGAAAAACGGTCGATTTTCGACTTTACCGGCCGTTTTCGATCCGATCCGTTCGTCTCGCCGCGACGGCTCTCGCCCGCCCGTAAAGCGCCGAGTTTCTACTTTCCAAAACGGTACCTCTTTCCTTCCGGGCGTTTCGCGAACCTCCTAAAAAACCGGAAAAACCGCGTCGACGTCGCCCGCCCAAAATTTCTAACGTCACGTGACCTCTTCCTTAAAACAATCGATCACCGCTTAATATAGTCGATTTTCGTTGCTGCAGTTGTACGATCAAGATGCCAATTGATAAATTTGGAAGACATATGCTCCATTCAAAAAAGAGGGACATATCTTCAATCTTCAGTGCTTTCTAGCATCTAAACTATTCAGCGTATGTGTGGTACCCATTTATTCCAACACATTTAGCGCATTATTTACACATTTGGTGAAAATAGTAGGGACTATATCGTTCCTGTGACCGGGATAGTTGATAGTATAAATATACCTCCCAAAATAAGAGTGAAATGTGGTCAAAGTGATGTCAAAGTCGACACACACCTGTCGAAAGGGGATATTCTGAACTTCTATTCATCTCATGAACCAAAACATGACCTTGTAGGTAATATCGTGATGCGCTGTCCAATCATACAAGAATGATGGACTTTAAAAAGCAGGTCATTGAGGAACTTCATAAACCGGCTCGCAGAAATTATAGACGTCGACGCGTTATTGTGAAGGGTATCAACGATCTCCTACAGGCAGATTTGGTGGAAATGCTTCCGTATCAGAAAGTTAACAAAGGATTCCGTTACATTTTAATTGTCATCAACGTTTTTAGTAAATTTGTGTGGGCAGAAACCAGTCAAACGAAAACTGGAAAAGATATGACAGCTGCAATGAGTACAATTTTATCGCAAATGCAGACAATTCCGAAAAATTTACAAACAGACCTGGGTAAAGAATTCTACAATAGTGACTTTAAGAAGTTAATGGAAGCGTACAAAATTAATCATTACAGCTCCTACTCAGCGACCAAAGCAAGTGTAGTTGAAAGGGTGAATCGCACTTTGAAGAATCGTATGTGGAAGCAGTTCAGCTTTCAGGGATCGTATAAATGGTTAGATCTCCTATCATCAATCGTTGATGCATATAATAACACCAAACACAGCACAATTGGGATAAAACCCAAAGACGTGAACAAAAGTACAGCAAAACACTGTTGAGAACGGCATACACACATTTGAAAACGTTAGATCCAAAGGGTGTAAAATATCAACGTGGAGATCATGTCCGCATAAGCAAACATAGGACAGCATTTGCTAAAGGATACACTCCTAACTGGTCCAATAAAATTTTCACAATCCGTAAAATACAGTATACCAATCCCACATCATACTTACTGGCTGATTCGAGCGGTGACGAGATTCTAGGTGGATTTTACGCTGAGGAGTTTCAAAAAGTCAAGTATCCAAATATCTATCTTGTAGAGAAAGTGGTGCGACGTAAAAAAAATAAAGTGTTAGTCAAGTACTTAGGACTGGATAACAGACATAATTCGTGGATTAGAAAAAGTGATTTACTTGCATGACATGTATATTATTTAAACCAATCAGTTTTATAACACAGCTTTTTCAATAAAACACGATAAGTAATTTAAAATTCTTTTTAATTACAATGACTTTACAGAATAGTTAGGATAGTCTGAATAAAATTTCAGCGTTGGAGCCTTGTTGAATTCCTTCAAGTTTGGATGTTGGTATGCCAGTTCCATAGCAGTCCTGATGTTCTCCGAATGCGGCAAATCAGAGATGTGTTGGATCACGAAGTCTCGCAACATCCATGTTGGTGGTTCGCACATCTTGGACAAGTGTGTTGAAATACTTATTAAACTCCTGAGTTTTCAGCATATTAATGGTGTAGGCAATCAGCGGGGCTAATTGAAATAGCTTCAATACGGTCTCCTTACCCAAATAAACGACGTTTCTCCATCGATCTTCAATTTTGATTGTTTGAAAATCTGGAAATCTCTCAAAGGTGATACAGACGGAGTTGGCACTGATCGAATGGAAAATATCATCACTGAAGAAAAAATTGGTTATAACGCCTTCTTGATTTAATATCTCATACCAGTCTTCTTCATTTAACGTAACGCCATTGTTTTTCAAACCACTGATATTGATTACAGGGTGGAAGCTCCACTGATATGCTCGACCAATGCTTATCCATTTTGATTTCGATGGATTTAGATGATATCGTTGCTCCTGGATGACAATTAACGGTGTCTGATCTACCCCACTTTGTACAGATCGTACCCCCTTGTCGTTTTGCACACCGGCACTCATGTTGTAACGTTATGTGAAATTCAGAAGACTGGTATATGAAGCTTCGTGGCTAACTTTATACAGTGTTGATCACCCCTCCATTCACCAACTTCCCCCTCCCAAAAGTTGACGCAAGTGCAAGGGAAAATGATACTACCGTTCATGCTGACATAGATATATATATTAATGAATTTTGTCACACACAGAGTATTTACGTTTTGGATAAATCACACAAGATCTTTAAACATGCTACATAATCTTCGAATTTGGTGGATGGCCATTTCACACTACAGGGTCCAGAGGTCCATCCGAGGGTTTCATCTCCAATGTTACCCTTGGCTATATTTTTCTTTATCCATTTCAATACAGTATAATGTCTCATCTTATTTTCTACATCAAATACAAATTTAATATCATGCTGCTGTATAATATCGATTAAACTAATCAGCTAGATATGCGATTTTACAGATGCTTTCATCGATATGTGATACAATGTCTTTATACCTCTTCGTAATATTTTCTACAGGATGCGGTTTATCTACATCTTCATAGTTACTATCAGATAACAACTTACATAAATAATATTGTTCATATGCTGATGGTGTGTAGGGCATATTATCCAGTAGGTCTCCAAATTCTTTGATGCTTAAAACCTCATAATCTCTCTCTTTTAAACTTTGCAGTGTTTCCTGTACCACCCAATCTAGATGTTTCTTTTTGTTATTACACTGGAAAGCACGTGGGGATGGCAACTGTGGGGCATTGGTAATCCAATTGAATACTTCGTCAGGTATTGTAATTTCCTCTAGCACAAAGTCCAGCACTGGAAATTCTTGTTTTTCTGGATTTCGAGTCACAAATTGTCGAAGCTGTTTTTTCAACACCTCTTCAGTTACATGACACAATTGCATGTACAGTGAATAGTATGTCGTAGTACTCATCTTTGAAACTGAATGAGGTGCGTTTGTTGAGAATATATTTATATTCTTGTCCCCACCACAAACCCCTATTCTATGATCATGCTATCTGATGCTTATTATTCAACACAATGGCTTCTTGCATCAAGTGCAGTAATGTATCCAAGCGCTCCTCATGTGACATGTTATGAAATAATATATCTGATGACCCCAAGCTGATGTCTTTGTTGAGTTTGGTATCACGAACCTTTATCATCCGTACTGGTCAATGCTACTTTTTTATATAATTTGTGTAGATATTGTGCGACTCCGATTTAAATACAACTCAAATATCTTTCTTCAACGAAAACGTTTTTTAAAAAGATTTTATTTTTGAGAAAGACCAAATACAATGATGTTAATTGAATGAGTTCTGAATCGAGACTGACTGCAAAGTTCATTATACAAACCAAAGTAAAGAACAAATTAAATACAATACTGTAACTGATAAGAAAGGAACGTGGAGGCAAAAGTCCTTGTTCAGCATATTCTTCTCTGTAGACTGGTACATAACTCCTCCACCCCTAGAATGAAGCTTCCCCTGGAAGGTGAATTTCTTTCTTCTTATATGTTGAACTGGAATCTTCTCTTCTAGTGCGTTTTGTGGGACTTGGACCTTCTTCTTTCATCTCGGCTAATTCAATGTCGATTTCTAACCTGGATGCTTTCTTGTTTCTCCATCTTCTATATAAAATTATGCAGCAGATGCTTGAAAATACGAGATATAGTAATATGGTCCAAATACTGGGTTTTCCAAAATTTTCTATGGAATTTTCTTCTAAAATTGGTAACATTCGATTAACTTGTAATTCTGGTAAATTTAACGTTTTCAGAGTAATTTGTGTCTCTGGGATATTTTGTTTCATAAAATGGAAATCCATTTTGTCAGCTACGAGGGGCTTTCCATAGGTTTTGTCTTGAAAGATAATTTCATTGTCTTGGAATGATATTTGGCATTCACTGGCTTTGACTAAGAAAATGCCAAGTAATGACTTTGTATCGATTTGTTCCTTGCATTTAATTTTCAATTTTTTTTTTTCAGCTAAATACTGGTTAATAGTCCCGTTAAATTTTGCGACAAGTTCATTGTTACTGAATATTGCATTCTCAGCTGATTTTGAATTTGATGCTGATTTCCTGTAAATGAGATAAAATTTTATCAATACGTTCTCCATCGTCGGAGTCTAAATTTCCTGTTATTGTTTTTTACTACATAGCCTATGCCATTAAAAAGTCCTCTCTTATTGCGAGTCTTTTGAGAATGAGATTTAATGTATTCGATTTTCTCTTGAATCAAGCTCCTTATATAAGATACTATCTTACTATAATTTTCTAGCTCGTTATTAATCTTAGAATGGTTTCTGTAACTATAGTTAAGATTACTGTATTGAATATTCAAATCTTCATATTCCTTATATAAAGGTGATAGATCATAATAGTGCACAAAAGTATGTTTTGTCCTTTGTAGCCTAGCTGTGCCTAAATTTACTGGCAAAATTCCTAGATTGTTCGTTATGTTTCTTATTTCTGCTCCGCATCCGAAATAGATGAGGTATCTGAAATATTAGTAAATTTAAATTGATAAGTTTTCTTCCTGGGCCTTTTAATATTGGATAAATGGATATTTTAGAAGTATTGGCATGTGTGGGATCTATCTCCGCTCTTTTAATTTCTTATCTATACTAATTAATTTTTCTTGCTTATACTTATTTTTAGTTTTCTGTTGCTTCTGCTTATTCTTAACCTTGTTAGGAATATCAGGCAAACTTCATGTTTCTCATTTGCTTTATTTATAACTTTTTCTTTATTCTGTAATATCTTTTCATTTAAATTCCTATATACTAATTTCATTTTTTCCTTATGATTCTGTAAATAATTATTTAATAATTGCTTATCTATGTCTATATTAAAAGGTGATTCTGTATTGAAATGACCAGTAATCACTTCATAGGGTTTAAGATTGGTTACAGAATGTATTGTGTTATTATAAGCTAAAATAGCGTAATTCACCTTAGTTTCTATAGGTTCGTTCTTGTACTCTACCTGATTATTCAATAATCTTAAATGTTCTATGAGCGTTGAGTGGAAACGTTCTACGGTTCCGTTAGATTCTGGGTGCTGTGAACTAATAAAATGTATTTTGACTTTATGCAATTCTAAAAGTTCTTTGACTACTGAATTTTTTAATTCTGTGCCATTGTCGAAAATCATTTGATCTGGTATACAGTGATGTGTAAAATATCTTATAAAATTATTTGTTACCTCTACTCCATTGGCAGAGTTCAACATGTAAGCCTGACCGTACTTTGAAAATGAATCGGTCATAGTCAAAAATTTTGCATTTTCTAAAGAATAGTGTCTACGTATAAAATTTGGAATGGTTTCGTAGGCGTTGGCGTAATATTATATTCAAGTTTTAACGGGTGTCTGTCGTATTTTGTTAACTGACAGATTTCACACTCATTATATAAGTCTGTATCGAGTTTCTTAATAATAATTTTGCACAATTTACTGCTGTATCACTAATTGGAATATTTATCGTAGGATTTTCTATATTAGAATGAACGGTGGTGCCCTGATGAATCATTTTCATTTTCATCAATTTTATCTAAATCATTGGGTTGAGGTGCGATCGAATAGTTATCGGTCTGATTGGGAATATTGGAAGTATTCGATGGACCTGCTTGATTTTCAAGATTTCTATTAAATTCTTTCATGTATTGTGCCAGTGGAGTCGGTGCTCCTGTTTCATTAACATTTACTTCTATTCTAGATAAAAAGTCCGCATTTGTGTTTGATTTACCTTTCCTGTAAATAATGTCAAAATCATGTTCTTCTAATCTTAAGCGCCATCAATTTTGAACTAGCATCTCTAACTGAAAATAACCATTGGAGGCTTTTGTGATCTGTTAGAATAGTAAACTTACGTCCGAAAATATAAGGCCTGAAATATTTTACTGCATATACGATACTTAGAAGTTCTTTTTCTGTCGTGCTATACTTTGTTTCTGAATCACTTAATGTTCGTGAGGCGTACGCTATTGGTAAATCTGAGCCTAATTTACCTTGGATAATATTGCGCCGATTGCATAATTACTTGCATCCGTAGTTATCAAGAATGGTTTGGAAAAATCCGGATATTGGAGTATCGGATCGTTTATCAATAAAGTCTTGCATAATTCGAAACATTTAATATAATCTGCGTCATTGGGATTAATAATTGCATCTTTTTTCAATCTGATTGTCAATGGCTTAGTGATTTTCGCAAAATCTTTTATAAACTTACGGTAATAACCTAAAAGTCCAAGGAAGCCTTTAATTTGCTTCTTAGTTTTTGGTATTTTAAATTCTGTAATTGCCTTTATCTTATCGGGGTTTGGTTTCACACATCCGCCGTTACAACATGACCTAAATACGATACTTCTTTTCTAAGAAATTCCGATTTGTCTAACTGTATTTTAAAATTTGACTGACGTAACCTTTCAAAAACTTCTCTAAGTCGAGAAATATGTTCCTGTAAACTAGTACTGAATATTATAATGTCATCTAAATATACTAAGCATTTTTCATTTTGAATACCT